CTATTCATTCACTCCTCTCTCCTACCCACAAATCCCTGGCAGCCAAAGACCTTTCACTGTCTCATAGTTTTGTCTTTTCCAGAACTATGCTTAGAATCTTAAGTGTGTAGCCATGTCATATTGGCTGCTTTCACTTAGCAATATGGTTAAGGTTTCTCCATGTCTTTTTGGCTTGATACCTGATTTCCTTTTATCACTGAATAATATTTCATTGTATGGCTGTTCCAGTGATTATTTTTCCGTTCACCTATTGAAGGATATCTATCTCTATTACCTGTAAGTCTTGGTAGTCATGAATAAAACTCTTATAAACATTCATGTGCAGGATTTTTTGAAAATATATCCCCATTGATTTCAGAGAGAGGAAGGGAGAGGGAGATAGAAACATCAATGATGAGAGAGAATCTTTGATCAGCTGCCTCCTGCACACCCACTACTAGGGATGGAGCCTGCAACTCAGATACATGCCCTGACCCAGAATCCAACTGCGACCTCCTGGTTCATGGGTCGATGCTCAAACACTGAGCCATGCCAGAAGGGCCATGTACAGGATTTTTTATGAATGTAAGTTTTAAACTTATTTGGGGAAATAAGGAGAATGATTGCTTGGTTGTATGATAAGAATAGGTTGTTTAAGAAACTGCCTGTCTTCAAAAGTAGGCATACCGTTTTCCATTCCCATCAGCAGATGAGGGTTCCTGTTCCTCCACATCTTTGCCATTGTTCAGTGTTTGCTCTCAGTGTTTTGAATTTTAGCCATTGTAATAAGTGTCTAGTAATATCTCATTCTTCTTTTATTTGCAATTCCTAAAGACATGATGTGCCCGGCCGGGTGTGGCTCAGCTGCAGTTGAGCGTCAACCTAGGATCCAGGCAATCAGGGTTTGATTCCCAGTCAGGGCACATGCCTAGTTGCAGGCTTGATCAGTGACTCTCTCATCATTGATGTTTCTCTCTCTCTCTCTTCTTTTCTTTTCCTCTCTCTGAAGTCAATAAAGATATATTAAAAAAAAAAAAAAAAAAAAAGACATGATGTTAAGCATTTTTTTCTATGCTTATTTACCATTTGTAAACTTTTGGCGAAGTGTATGTTCAGATCTTTTGTCCATTTTTAATTGTTTTGCTTATCTTATTGTTGGATACCAGTCCTTTATCAGATAAGTGTTTTGCAAAGATTTTTTTTTTTTTTTAATCCTCACCTAAGGATATTTTTCCAGTGCTTTTCAGAGAGAGTGGGAGGGAGAGAGGGAGAAGACAGACAGACATCGATGTGAGAGAGACACATTGATTGGCTGCCTCCTGCGCACGCTCTGACGGGCCAGGGATCGAGCCTGCAATCGAGGTACATGTCCTTGACTGGAAGCTTCAGTCAGTGGGCCGATACTCTAGTCACTGAGTCAAACTGTCCAGGGCACAAAGATTTTTCTCCCAGTCTGTGGCTTGTTTTTTCACTCTCTTAACACTTTTTCACAGAGCAGGTTTTATTTTAATGAAATCAAACTTATTTTTTTCTTTCATCAGTCTTGCTTTTGGTGTTATATCTAAAACTTCATCACCAAACCTTGGGTCACCTAGATTTTGTCCTATGTTATCTTCTAGGAGTGTTGTAGTTTGGCACTTTACATAAGACCTGTGATCTGTTTTGAGTTAGGTTTTGGAAAAGGTATAAGATCTGTATCTAGATTGATTGATTACTTGATTTTTGCATGTGGATATCTAGTTTTCCTGGCAGTATTTGTTGAAAAGGCTATGTTTTCTCCACTGATTTCCCTTTGATCCTTTGTCAAAGATCAGTTGATTAGCTCTGGCCAGGTGGCTCAGTTGGTTGGGGCATTGTCCCGTACACCAAAAGTTGTGGGTTCAATTCCCAGTCAGGGCACATATCTAGGTTGATGGTTTGATCTCCAGTTGCGGTGTGTAGGAGAGACAACCAATCAATGTTACTCTCTCTTTTTCTCTCCCCCCCCCAATCCTCTCTCTAAAATCAATAAAAACATATCCTCAGGTAAGGATAAAAAAAGATCAGTTGATTATATTTGTTTAGATCCACAGGAAAGAATTGGCTTTTGTATATTAGCCATTTCTTTTTCAATCTCACTCTGTTCTCTCATTAGTTGAAGGGGTTTTTTGTTGTTTTCTTTGAGTTTTTCTCCATCGATAATCATGCCATATGCAACAAAGACAAGTTTAATTTCTTACCTCCCGTTCTGTATACCTTTTATTTCCTTTTCTTGTCTTACTGTATTAGGTTAGACTTCCAGTACAGTGTTGCCTAGGTCTGGTGTGAGGGGACATCATTGCCTCCTTCTTGATCTTACCAAGAAAGCATCTATTTTCTCACCATTAAGTATGGTAACTGCAAGTTTCTCATAGAGGGTATTTCTCAAGAAGAGGGAGTGCCTCTCTATTCCTAGTTTGCTCCCATAAATGGATTTGGGATTTTGCCAAATCCTTTTACATTCCCCCACCCCAGTCCTCATTCTTGATATTAATAATTTATCTTTTCTCCTTTTTTCTCAGCTTGTATAGGTTTCTTAATTTTATTAATCTTTTCAAAGAACCAGCTTCTGGTTGTGTGGGTTTTTCATGATTTCCTGTAATTTTCCTGATTTGTTTTTTATTTCTATTCTTGTGCTTACTTTAGGTTTAATTTGCTCTTCTTTTTCTAGTTTTGTAAGATAGAGGCTTAGATAATTCATTACAGATCTCTTTTTTCAATTGTAGGCCTTTGATGATATAAATTTCCCTCCAGGCACTGTTTTTGCTGCATCCCACAAATTTTGATAAATTGTATTTATTTTCATTTTCATTTAGTTCAAAATAACTTTTCATTGCTTTTGAGACTTCTTTGATCCCTGAGTTATTTAGAAGTGTGTTGTTTAATATCCCAAGTATTTGAGGGTTTCCCAATCTTTCTGTTAATGATTTCTATATTAATGCCTTTATGATCTGACAGCATACTTTGTATCATTTCTGTTCTTTCAAATATGTTAAGGTGTGTTTTATGTTAGAATGTGTTCTATCTTCATGAATTTTCCATATGAACTTGAGAATAATGTGTATTCTGCTGTTGTTTGATGATGAAGTATCCCACACTTTTCAGTAAACCCAGTTGGTTTGATGGCACTAATCAGTTCAGCTGTGGCTTATTCTGATTTTCTTCCTACTGGTACTGGTAATTATTAATAGAGGGGCATCGAAGCATCCATTGTAGTAGTGGACTCATCTGTGTCTCCTTGAAGTTCCACCCATTTTTCCCTGATGTATTTGGCCACTGTTTTGTTATGCACCTGAGCACTGAGGAGTGCTGTGTCTCCACTAAGACTTGACCCCTTTATCATTCCTTAAAGCCTCTTTATCCCTGTGCTTTGTCTGAAAATACAGATATGCCAACTATCTTTAATGCTAACGAGAGACATATTTTTCCATCCCTCAATTTCAATCTGTCTTTATTGTTAACGTGGCTTTATTATAGACAACATATAATTGGGAGTTGTTGTTTTTTATCCACTATGACAGTATCTTTTAGTTGTTTATTTATAGAACATTGATTTTTTTAAATGATTGTTGATATAGTTGGATTAATATCTACCATAATGTTTGGCGTTTTCTAGTTGTTGCCCTTGTCTTTGTTTCTCTTTTGTCTTTCACCTTTTTTCTGCCTCCTTTGGCTTTGACCATTTTACCTGATTTTATTTTTTCTTCTCTCTTAGCATATCAGTTATACTTTTTTTTTTTTTTTTGTCTTTTTTAAAATTAGTTGCCCTTAAATTTGTAATATATAGTTACGGTAAACCTGGGTCCTCTTTCAAGTAATGCTAAACTACTTCACTGGTTGTATACATTCCTTATAACAAAATATTCCCAATTCTTCTCTCCCTGCACCTTATAACATTGTTGTTCATCTCACTTATCCATAAGCTATAATTACTGGATACTTTGTTGCTAGTATTATTTTGAACAGTGTTATCTTTCAAATTAAGACTTTTTTAAGGTGATGTTATTTTCCCTTCATTTGTTCCTTCTCAAATGCTGTCCCGTTTTTCATCATTTTCCTTCCTTTTGAAGAATTTCTTTTAACATTTCTTGCAGAACAAAGCAGATGTACTGGTGACAAATTCTCTCAATATTTGTTTGTCTCAGAAATTTCTCCCTCACTTTTGAAGGATAATTTCACTCAACACAGAATTTTAGTTAGGTTATTTTTTTGTTTTTTTTTATCAACACTTTAAATATTCATTCCACTCTCCTCTTGCTTGCATTATTTGAGACAACAAAAAAAGTCTGATTTAATCCTTGTTGTTTACCTATAGCTAAGGTGTGTTTTCCCCCTGGCTGCTTTCAAGATTAAGTCTTTTAGTATGCTGTGGAATTTTATTGTTGTTGTTGGAAGCCAGATATGATGTACTAAGAAGGAGGGACCTTGGTAAATAGGCCTAGTGTAAGATTTTAAGTTTATCTGGCTAGGACTTAACCTGTGTTTACTATTCGTATACCTGTAAGTATCAGAGGCTACATCTGGTGTTCTCCTTTTCTCTCTCCTGTGATCTTTGGGGTTCTCTAGAGGCTTCCCAAATGAGATCTGAAATGTGTGGTTCTTTCTGTGTATTCCACTGTAACTAGAACTGACCCTAAACACTGGTCTCTGTGTACCCACCAAGAAGTGGGGATTTCTTACTCTGTTCTTGAACTAAATAGGTACATTTTACCATCAGAATTACTGTGGGGGAGCATTTTCTCAATCCCCTGCACAGAGATGTCAATGAGTTAATCATCTTTTTCAGAGACCAGTGTTTAGGGAAATTATGTGCCTGAAAGATTCAAGATGCTATTAAATTTATGAAGAAGTGGTTACATTTAGAGAATACAAATTCTGATGACCAAGTCATAGAATAAATATTTTGAAATCACAAAATATGTGAACTTCTTTTGAATTAACTATAGATCCCCAGTGCTGTCCATTTTACCTGTCTTCCTGTATTCATATGTGGAATGTTTTAGAACCAAGTGGCCTTTGAGGATGTGGCAGTAAACTTCACCCTGGAAGAGTGGGCCCTGCTGGATCCTTCGCAGAAGAAACTCTACAGAGATGTGATGCAGGAAACCTTGAGGAACCTGGCCTCAATAGGTAAGAGTGACAATGTTCCTTCATTTAGCCACTTAAAGAACAAGTGTTTCTTGTCTATCAACATTGTTCTCTGATTTGAAATGGGGAAAGAGAACACTTTTATAAATAAACCAGGCACAGTCAGAGCTGATCAGAGACCTGCAATGTAATAATTCTTCTGTAACTTTTTTTTTCTGGGTCTGCATTTTAGGAAGAAAGTGGGAAGACCATAACATTGAAGATCAATACAAAAACCAGGGGAAAAATCTAAGGTGAGTTATATTCACAACAGAAGTCAGTGTCCCACAAGGGGATCTTTATATGTCATGAAAATTTAAAAACAAGCAGACACTCCTCAAAAAATTAAAAATAAAATTGCCTTATGACCCAGTGATTCCACTTCTGGGTATATATCTTAAGAAACCCAAAATACTAATTCAAAAGACTATGCACTCCCATGTTCACTGCAGCACTATTCACAGTAGCTAAGATGTGGAAGCAACCAAAGTGCCCATCAGTAGACGAGTAGATAAAATGTTGTACATATATACAGTGGAATACTGCTCAGCCATAAAAAAGAATGAAATATCAGGGGGAACACTTTGTAAAGTATATGATTATCTGACCACTATGCTGTACACGTGAAACTAATACAAAATAATATTGTATGTAAACTGTAATGGAAATAATAATAACAATAACAATGATAATGATAAAAACAGACACAAAACAGCCGAGCTTCAAATTTATTTAACTTTGGAAAATTTTTACCAAAAATGTTTTCTAAATTGTGACATAGATGTTCAGTGTTTCCAAAATAGTTCACTTAGAAACAGTATTCAGCAACTCCATATATGAATATCACTACTTTGATAATAGCTATGGTCAAACCTTCTTTCAGAGCATTCATTATATTTAGTTTCAAACAATTTGGACAGGACAAAAAATCTACACTTTCCCTATAAATTGTAAATACAATATTCTAATGTTTATGAATAAATATAAATAAAGAAATCACTAATCATATACTCCTGATTTTTTTATAGACATCATATGGTAGAGAGATTCTGTGAAAGTAAAGAAGGTAGTCAATGTGGAGAAAACTTCAGCCTTATTTCAAATCTTAATCTGAACAAGAAAACTTCTACTAAAGTAAAACCATGGGAGTGCAGTGTGTGTGCAAAAGTCTTCATGAGTCGTTCATCCCTTACTAGGCACACGAGATCTCACACTGGGCCCAAACCATACAAGTATCAGGAATATGGAAAGAAACCTTACAAATGTAAGATGTGCGGGAAAGCCTTCAGTTATCTTCAGCCTTTTCAAAAACATGAAAGAAATCACAGCGTAGAGAAATCATATAAATGTAAGGAATGTGGAAAATCCTTTAGGTATCGCCAATCTGTTCGCAAACATGAACGGACTCACACTGGAGAGAAACCCTATCAATGTAAACAATGTGGGAAAGCCTTTAGATATCATCAAACCTTCCAAACACATGAAAGAACTCACACAGGAGAGAAACCCTATGAATGTAAGCAGTGTGGTAAAGCCCTCAGTTGTCCTAGTTCCTATAGAAGTCATGAAAGAACTCATACTGGAGAAAAACCCTATGAATGTAAAAAGTGTAGTAAAGCCTTCAGTTGTCCCAGTTCTCTTCGAAAACATGAAAGAACTCATACTGGAGAGAAACCCTATGACTGTAAGGAATGTGGGAAAGCCTTTATTTCTCTTGGAAGCTTTCAAAGACACATGATAACACATACTGGGGATGGACCTTATAAATGTAAGGACTGTGGGAAAGCATTCAACTGTCCTAGTTCATATCGAATACATGAAAGATCTCACACTGGAGAAAAGCCCTATGAATGTAAACAATGTGGTAGAGCCTTCAGTTGTTCCAGTTCCTTTCGAACACATGAAAGAACTCACACTGGAGAGAAACCCTATCAATGTAAAGAATGTGGAAAAGCTTTCCATTGGCTCACAACTTTTCAAGTCCATGTGAGAACTCACACTGGAGAGAAACCCTACATCTGTAAGCTATGTGGTAAAGCTCTCAGTTGTCCCACTTCCTTTCGAAGACATGAAAGGACTCACAGTACAGAGAAACCTTATGAATGTAAACAGTGTAGGAAAACCTTCAGTTCTGCTCTAGGTTTGCAAATACATGAAAGAACTCACACTGGAGAAAAACCCTATAAATGTGAGGAATGTGGGAAAGCTTTTGTATCTCTCACAAGCTTTCGAAGACACATGATGACGCACACTGGAGATGGACCTTATAAATGTAAGGAATGTGGGAAAGCATTTAACTGTCCGAGTTCATTTCGAATACATGAAAGAACTCACACTGGAGAGAAACCCTATGAATGTAAAATATGTGGTAAAGCCTTCAGTTGTTCCAGTTATGTTCAAGTACATGAAAGAACTCACACTGGAGAGAAACCTTATGAATGTAAGGAATGTGGGAAAGCCTTCATTTATCGCACAACCTTTCGAGGTCACATGAGGGTGCACACTGGAGAGAAACCATATAAATGTGAAGAATGTGGAAAAGCCTTTAGTCGACCCAGTTCATTTAGAAGCCATGAAAGAATTCACACTGGAGAGAAACTTCTTCAGTGTAAGCATTGTGGGAAAGCCTTCAATTGGCCCACATCCTTACATAAACATGTCATGAGAATGCACACTGGGTAAATTATAACTGATAAATACACTCAAAATTATGAGAAAACTTTATTAAATACACTCAAAATTATGAGAAAACTCCACTGGAGAGAAATGGCTATAAGTGTAAGTAATACAGGAAGGCCTAATGCAAATTAATTCACATATAATACTCCAGAAAATTCCTGACATGAAGGAAATGTTTTTAAAAGCTAAAAATACATTGTCTTTATCAGCAGCTCATTCTGAAACTCAGTCTCTGGACTATGGATTCTACTTGTTACTTCTGCAAATGAGCAATGAGTTGAGACAATTCTGTAAGTATACTTTAAGCAACAGTACATAAGCTTTAAGTAGGTCGTGTTTTTTCTTAAATCAGCTTATAAAATTTTTGTCTTTCCATTTTGAAGTCTGTTGGATCAATGGGTGAGTTGAAATATAATTGTACTACATACTAGTAGGGTTAATTTTTATACAAATTTTTAATTGTTCTTTAAGTTAAAGGGGATAATGACACTTTGGTATTTGTTAGGGTTTTCCTATTGTCTTATGTGGCAAGTACTAGATATTCCTTACCCATGATAAACAGTCCTCTTAGGAGAAAAACTTTGTTTTTCTTTCATCAGAAGAGCCTTACTAATTTTCCTTACTAAAGGATAGTTGGCCTGAATTTATAAATATGCAAAGTTTATCACTAGTTTGCATATAGTCTCACTTGAATTACTATTTACATCTTTTCCCTTTACTCTGTCATTCCCTCTGATTTAGAAAATAGACTTCACAGTAAGAAGAGCTACCTGTTTGATATCAGCCTCAAATTTACAAAACAACCTTAAAATGTTTACAAGTACAATTATTTTAGATTTAAACTCACAGCTACAATATCTTTGCACCAAAGCTACATTTTTTTCCCCCATCAATCCAATAAATCCTCCTATGGTACTCTGATGTCACCATTTAAGGTATCTTTTACCCATAAAACAATTAGAATAATTGTATGATATCACTAAAGTCAGCCAGTGGTATGACCATCCCTCTATTCATATTGAGGACCTACTATGTGCCTGAGCTGGACACTAGAAATACAACAGTGAATATAACTAAAGTGGTCAATGCTTATACAGTGTTTCAACTCTGCGAGGTTAAAGTTACATTTCTAGCTACTTACCTAGGTGTTTTTAACACTTAAACTCTGATTCATTTTTTGTAATAACATTATCTTAGATAGACCAATAAGCTTTTATATTTGCCAAAAAAGAGAGAGAGAAGAGACCTGTGACAGGACAATAAAATTGGAGATGACTCCCCTGAAATATATGTTATGTCAACATGGGTAATGTTGTGACCTACATTTTCTAGAACATTTTCTGTTCTTTATGTGGTTCCATGTTAAAATTCAATAACCTCATCTGAATGAGATTCGGAAAGCCTCAGTTTTTGAACCACAGAGCACAGAGAGACAGATGCATAGATGTTTTATATATACCTGCTTCCAAACCATTTTCCTGGCTCGTTGTCCCGCCAGTCAAGCGGTCCTCAATACTACCACCAACTACATGACTACATGACTTTCTCAAAGCTGTAGGTTCCCACGGATGCCTCCACAATACCCACAGCAAAGGTCACTTTGGATTTCCCTACAAGCCCTCATGTGTCCACCAAACAACAAATTCAGACTGTCATGTTTGAGAATGTTCTCTGAAACGCTGACTCCCCTCTTCTCTAGACTGTATTTGTATAAGGTCTGATTTGTATAGTAAATGCCTTGTTCTGTTAATATTTGCTAGTAACTATGTGTTCCTGGTTGCACCAAAACGGCTACAATGGTGCAGTCAGAAAGAACCTTGTGGGAGTCGGTTCCTCTGCTGCATGTGCAGTGACTGCTCTGACACAGTCCTTCCATGTGAGAAGTCGCACCTTCCTCATATTAGGTATATTGTGGATATATCCAATTACAGCTAAACATAAGTCCTCAGGACATTTTCAGTTATGTTTGTATGTGATTTAAAGTGTTCATTTTTTTGTCAAACAAATGCTTCTATAGATGTTTCTTAGAAATGTTTTATTAACTCTTTCAGAGAGCTTGTGTACTGACAAATATTTTTTCCACTTCCTGACAGGATATATTAAATAAAACATCCCATTGCAAGTGCAGATTTTTATATCAATTTTGTGATTTTTATCAAGTTAATCATACATTTTGAAGTTAACTTTTTTTTCTTAGTATGTCTTTATTGATTTCAGAGAGAAGGAGAGAGAGAAAAAAACATCAGTGATAAGAGAGTCATTGATTGGCTGCCTCCTGCACACCCACACTGGGGACTGAGCCCACAACCCAGGCATGTGCCCTGACTGGGAATCGAACCATGATCTCCTGGATCATATAGGTCAGTGCTCAACTGCTGAGCCATGCTGGCCAGGCTCATTATATATTTTGAATCAATGTTATGTATATTTTCCTCAGGCAAGTTTTTTTTCCTATAGTTAAAAATGTTTGTGATTAAACTAGCCTCTCATTAATTCTTCAATAAAAATGTTTATCATGGTTTTGTTGGTGCCTTCTTGCCAAAAACTATAGAAACACACCTATACTCAAAGAGAGGGGTGTAATGAATTGTGATAAGGATGACTACAAGCCGTAATTGGTAATGGGTTGCATCAGTAAGAGATCTTAAGCAATTTGGGCTTGTGTTAAGTGATGGGATTGGTATTCAAGGAAGGAAAATGTTCCTATGTATTGGATACTGTGAGGAGGTAAACTAAATTCTGTCTTTGGGAATAATAATAGTTCTTACCTAAACATGGGAATATTCCTTATGATATATGGCACATTGTTTTTCATATAAAGTACCTCAGTTAAACTGTATAAAGTCACTTGCTCTTTAGCAAACTTTGTAATATCAGCTAAGGCCTTTGGGTTCAGGTAAATTGTCAGAACACAAACCCAGTAAGGGAGAAAGATAAGGTCCCTATTCCATTTGAACCTTTATTGCTTAGAAACTATGGTCTTGATGTAATTTTAACATTCCTGTCAGGGACTACAGACTCAAAATATACACAGTTTTTGGTGGAGCCACTATGGAAAACAGTATGGAGATTCCTCCAAAAACTAGAATAGAACTACCATATGACCCAGCAGTCTTATTTCTGGGAGAAAACAAACACACTAACTCAAAAAGATATATGGACCCCTACGTTCATTGCAGCATTATTTACAATAGCCAAGATATGGAAGCAACCTAAGTGTCCTTTGACAGATGAGTGGGTAAAGAAGTGATGCATATATACAATGGAATATTACCAGTAAAGAATGAAATCTTGCCATTGCAGCAACATGGATGGACCTAGAGGGTATTATGCTAAGTGATATAAGTCAGACAAAGAAAGGCAAATATAATACGGTTTCACTTATATGATCTCTTCACTTATAGAATCTCAAAAAGTCAAACTGATGGTTTATAGAGGAGAGGAGTGGGGGAATGGGTGAAAAAAGGTGAAGGGGAATATAGTTATTAATGTGATAAATTTATATGATAATAGATGATTACTAAACTTAGTGTGATCATATCGTAAGCTATATAAATATTGTACACCTAAAACTAATACAATATTATATGCAAATACGTTGGGTTTATAAGATGGAAATAAAGGCTTTGAAAGAAAGTAAACAGTGACATGTGAGGTAATAGGGAAGCTGGGTGTGTGTCTCTTCTCTGTGAAGGGTCAGGACCTCAGAGAGTGAGGATGTCCTCATTGATCATTTTTATTTCCACCACCTAATTCATTTTAAACACAGGGATTGCTTGGGTGCAAATATCAACAGTTGAAAGTAATACAGGCAGTCAATTCCTGTGATTAACAGTAATGGTTCCAATAAAGATACAGATTGGTTAAAAGTTTTATTGCATTTAATAGTAATCACAAGTTTAGACATGGGTTATCTGAGACTTTAAACTTCCCTTTGCTTTGGGCCACAGGTATATGCCTTTTAAGTTTCCATTATCATTTTGCTGCTACACAGACTGAGTGACACAATAGTACCCCATGAAGCCATGGAGTTCCTCCATGCTTGAAGGAAGAGTTCTGGTCATCCATACAGTTGTAGCCCATTATGGGTTTTCCTGTGAGTAGAGTGATATCTGTGCAAGTCCAATGTAATGTCCTGGTTGAAACACAAAAAAGGCCTATGGAAGTTTAAAGGGCAGTTACCCAAGGAATGATCGAGGTAAGCTGCAGACAGAGTGCATCACTTTCAGTAATATCCTAATTTAATGGAAAGGAGGTATGTCTGACATCCTCAAAATGAGAATCTTTAAATGTCTTTCATAAGAGGAGACCTGGAAGCTTTTTGTTTCAGTGGTCCACAAGTTACAAAGCCCATTTTGCTGTTCACAGGTCTCATTTCTATATTCTTAGGCTTCCAGAACATATTATGGAAGGGGGAGGGGAGAAATTACCAGCTTTGTTTTATTAAGGAGCAAGGGAAATCCAAACTTTCCCCATTTTTCAGTGATGTTTTCTTTGCATGGTATAGATTATGCGATTTCATAATTATTTGTCTCAGTTGTTTTGCCCCTCTCCCAATCATTCATCCCATCTTACAAATGAAAATTAAATGCAGGAGAACAAGGTCTTACCAAACTCATATAGCTCAGAATAATGGCATCTCTCTTTTAAAGGCCTAATGTATGCAACCACCTCTACAAGGCACTTTCAAAAATTTTAGGAATTCCAAGATGGCGGCAGATTAGGTGGAAGCTACACTCACCTTCTCCCAGAACCAAACTGGAATTACAACTAAAATATAGAAAAATCATCCTGAATAACCAACTGAAGACTAGCTGGAGAGAAGCCTTATAACCAAGAGCTTAAATAGGAGGCCACATTGAGACTGGTAGGAACTGGAGGTAGAAGAGGGCTGGCTAGGCTCCCACAGGGAGCAGCTAAAGTTCTGGAGAGGGATCTCAGCTGTGGGGGGTTCCCCCTGAGGAGTCTTGGGTCTAAACCCCAAGTCAGGCACCACAAGATGTAGAGCACTGATAGCTCCAAACAGCTTGCTCAGGGCCAGTCACAGTCCAGAACCAATAAACCCAGTGGCGCTTCAGACAACAACAGTATCCAACAAGCTTCACAAGCAGCATATCCACAGGGAGATATTGGCAGGCACCAAACCCTGCTGAGGCAAATTCTGCTTCATGTAATCAGCACCTGCACAGCAGCCTGTAAGCTGTGTTGGGGGTTGAGCCTCACTGTCAATCAGCCTGAGGGTCAAACTCCTGCATGAATGGGACAATAGCCATCAAGACTCAATTACAACAGGAGGGCCCACACAACATGCACAAGGAACATTGTTAGAACACCCAGCTCTGGTGATCAGGGAGACTGTAACACTGGGTCTCACAGGTCACCTACTACATAAAGCCACTCTACCAAGACTGGGAGTCATAGCACACTTACCTAATACATAGAAACAAACATAAACAGGCAGCCAAAATGAGGAAACAAACAGCCCCCAAATGAAGGAACAAGAGAATTCTGCAGAAGAGCTAAATGAAGTGGAAGTAAGCAATTTATCAGATACAGAGTTCAGAATAATGATTATAAGGATGCTCAAAAGCATGAAAAAGGATATAGAAACCATAAAAAAAGACCAGTAAGAAATGAAGAATGTCATATCTGAAATAAATAATACACTGGAAGGAATAAACAGCAGGCTTGATGAAGCAGAGGATCGAGTCAGTGATTTGGAAGACAAGGTAGAATAAAACACCCAATCAGAGCAGCAAAAAGAAGAAAGACTTAAAAAATGAGGACAGTTTAAGGGCCCTCAGGGAAAACATGAAGTGTAACAACCTAACTAAAAATTGAAAGCAAACTTCAAACCATATGTTCACGCTAAACAATCTGTTAAGTGAAACAGCAGAGAAATATTTGCAGACAGACCTGGATTTACTCACAGGTATTGAAAGTATCCACAACAGGTATGAAAATCTAGAGAGCCCAGCAGTCTTTACATATGAATGAATTAAAGGAGAATTGCTCTCTCCCCCCACATTATTTTGGCCTGCATAAAATGATCAGCACATTTCAGGTAGATTTGACCCTGGATCCTGAAACTGCCCATCCAAGTCTCATTATCTCAAGAGACAGAAAAGGTGTGACATATAGGACACCTGATGGTCTTTATAATTCCCAGGCACTTCTTACCCAGGTGTCCTGAGTTCTGAGGGATTTGATGCTGGCAGGCATTTTTGGCAGGTAGAAGAGGCACAGGTGAATGGTCCTTAGTTGTGTGTAAAGAATCTTCCCTCAGAAATAGTTTTATATCACTATCCCCAAGCAATAGCTGCAGGCACATTGAACTTTGTGCTAGTATATGCGAAACATGCCCTAGAGGATATGTCATGCAGGTTGGCATTTTTCTGGACTGAGTTGGGGGAGGTTTCATTTTATAATTTGAATAACAGGTCATACTTGTATGGATTCACAGAAAAACTTATGCCTTATTTCTCTAATGCACCTTCTTCAAAATCTCTTACAATCAGTATCAGAGATGAATGATGAACAACTTAGAGGAAATTTAGTATGTGGTTATTTTTATCCCTTGTTATTGGAAGGAATGCTTGTAATAAAGATTCTGATTCCAGTTTTGATGTTTGACTGTTGAAAGCTTTTAGGACTCACCCTTCTCTCCTCCCTTAACCTCACGCCTGGGAAAGCCGATGAGAAAGCCTTTGGTGCAGGTGAGGACTTCCAACCAAGCAAACCCCTAGTAGTGCCAACAGGCTCTCACCAACAGCACCCAGTAACCACCATGAACAGCACAAAGTAGTCCACTTTCTCAGCCATTTTGGGACCTACTCTGAGATCCACCCTATTCTCCCCCCAAAACCTCATCATGTGAGTAATAAACTTTTTCATACTCTTCCGGAATGTGATGAGTCATCATCAGTCTTAACATTTGAAACAAATTTTGGATGAGTTCCATCCTGACTGTGTAACCTGGTCACCACCACTGGCATTGTGAGCAGGATTATACAGATGTGGAGCACCCCCCCCCCCAGGGGTTTCCCC